TCCTAAACCCCCATCCATTCTTACTGAATTTCTTTTTGACCAATAAAGGTCAACAAAGATATAAAGTTCTCTCCCTGGGCAAAATGGGTCTAATGTTCCCATAGGGAATCTGAATTGTGAAGGATTGGGGAGAGAGACCAGTGGCTTAGTTCTGAAGAGTAGGCTCAATCATCAATTAATCCTACGGTACTAAGTGACGCACTTCATGTATTCATGTATTGTAATCTTAGATGGCCATACAGCTTATTGTCAGGCCAGGGATTTTAGAGAATTAAAATGATTCTATTAATAATCTGCTGGGAAAATCGGTCTTTTGGGCTCCCTCCTGTTTTAAATTCCTGTACAGCTGAGTTAGAGCTGAAAATAGGACCCTGGCCCTAACCACCAGACCCCTTAATCTGTTTCCCCAGCTAAGTTGTCTTCTGCCAAGACTTGTCTACACTGGTTCTATGGAAAAGTGTTTACCACCGTCTCTAAAGAGAGATACATTCCCAGCAAATATAAAGGACAGCCTAGCCTGCACCTGCTTGGTCAGGTGCTCACAGACCCCCAAGCCCCATGTATGTTTAGGATCAACAGCACAAGAATGCCAAATCCACAACAGGGTCAATGAAAGGCAGAGGTAGCCAAGGGAGTCAAGGCCAGAAGGGGAGCAGATGCATGAACCCCTGCACAGGAGGATCCCCACTGTTTACAGCCTCAAGCCTGTTCTCCACTGGCCCACCCAAGACCCACAGGACAGCCATAGTCCAGGGACTGCCTCAGGCTCCTCTGGTGTTGGACTTTTTTTTAACTGAGGTAGCATTGGATTACATCATTGTATATGTTCTAGGAGTATAGGTTCATTCCATGCCCACCACTAAAGCACCAAAAATCTTCCAGCACGTTGGAGCCCTCCACTCTTGGTCCTCAGCCCTCATCCCCACACTGGTAATCTCAGTAGATGTTGGCTTTTAATGGGCAGAGTAGTGTTTTATAAATCACTCTGGGCTTCAAGTCACCCTTCTGCCAGCCATTCCATCCCATTACTTGGCTTTTTAAGTTTGAGGTAGCCACCAGAAACTTCCAAAAATTAATCCTGACTAGGTCATGACCCAGCCTTAAAAAAAAAAAAAGTGCCCCAGTGAACAGTGAACTAAACTCCTCCACACTGAGAGAATTTGGTAACAAAGGTGAGGGGAAAATGTTCAAAGAAAGATACCCAAAGAAGGCAGAAATTTTGTTACTGTTAAACCTGTCTTATCAGCTGTGCAATTCTCATTTAAAAAAAAAATGGTGTGTGTGTGTGTGTGTGTGTGTGTGTGTGTGTGTGTGTGTGTATGAATAGCAAGAGGAAGAAAGACTTGGCTTCCCAACAGAAACATAAACAAGTGTTGGCTGCCACCCTGAGGCCAACGATCTAGTCCTTTCTCCCAAAGCTCAGGTCCCTCTTTACTCCAATCTCAGGCTAGTGCTCACCTCCCCCCTTTTCTCCTTGCTGCTCTCACCAGTGTAGACTATGCCAGTCTAGCTACCCAGCTGCCAGGGTCTTGGGCTCCTGCAGGCTCTGTTCCCCAGAGGGAGGTTAATTACAGTGATTACACACTGGCCACGCCCCTCTTCAGAGGTGGGAATTAGCAGAACGTGTCACTATGCATCTGCCACCTGCCAACAGGAGTTGCAGCAATCTTAGCTTCCTGAATGGGCAGAAAGGGCCCAGAGTTATGGGCTCAGTGTCACAGACGCCTCACCTCAGGTTGCAGAACTGGGTCCCCAAGGAAAGAGACTCCTTGTCAGTATAACGGGGCAAACTGCTCTGCCAGTGCCAACCTTCCACTCCAGACAAGGAACCAGGTGATATTTATAAAGCCCTGTGAACAGAACTTCTTGACATTTTATATCCACTGTAGTGAAGCTAAGGTGATTCTCCATTTTCCAGAAAGATAAATGAAATGCAGCAAACTCTGATGAGGACAAATGCATTTAAGAAAGCAGAGACCAATTCAAGAAGAAATCTCGCAGAGCCCACAATCTGTAGGTAGTTCCTCATGGTGTGTGTGATCTGAAAATCCCCAATCTTGGCATATTTTCCCACGTGAATCTCTTAGAATTAGGACCAGTAGGTATTATATATTTTATCGAATATCTGATTGCCCCAAATGGTAATTAGATTTATATAACATTTCAAAGACCTCTCAGATGTTATCTTGCTGGAACCTATTTAATGTAATAGGGAGAGACATAATTTGTTGAACAATTATTACCTACTAACATCATAACTTGAATCAGTTTTCCAGAGATGGGTGAGCAAAGCTCCATGGGAATGAGACCCCAGAAATCACACATTTGGATTAGAGGAAAGGTAGAAACCACATGAGCAGTTGGCATGAGGAGTTGTAGACGCGGTGCTGGGGTCCTGAGGGCACCCGTGTACCAGCGCAGGCACCAAGGTGAGGGTCAGACGGGAGAAGCAGATGCTACAAATATAAGCTTCACCTACTCACCCTTCTGTCTGGGGCTGACCTGGAAATCATGATGAAAAGACCCTTAAGAACCAAGTAGACATACCCCAGGGCTGAGAATGTGCACCGGTTCCTGAAAGAACAACTTGGCTCTCCCTCAGAGCAGGCCCGGTGCGTCTGCTAATTCTCTTCAATAATTATTATCCTCCGGTTTATATCAGGCATTATGTAGGGAACAAAAGAAAGCTTTTGTTTTGAAACATCCCTTCTCACTGTCCCTTCTCAGATGTTAGCACCATCATCATTAAATAATGTACCTTTCAGGCTCTGAGTAATCCCTTGCTTTGGCTGCCCCGAGCATGTCTGGGTTTCAAGTGTAGTTTGAGGACAAAAGTGAGTGTCAGGGATCCCTGTTTCTTTGGGGTCCTTTGCTGCCTTCCCTGCAGCCTAGGACATGGTGGTCATGTGGCCAGGGACAGACTTGGCCCTGACTGTGGGTTTCACTGTCCTCACGTATTAGTGGGACATTAGTGTCACTGGTTCTCATCCCTGGCTGCACATTAGAATGGGAACTTTAATCCCAGTGCTGCACACCCAGGAGTTCAAAATTGATTGGGGTGGGACCCAGCCCCAGAGATTTTTTAAAACGCTTGTCCAGGGCCCCAACAGCTGAGTTATATGCTCTCTGTGACCCTTCCAGTTCTGTAAAAGCCCACAATCCTCTGCGGACTACAATGATGTAAGAGAAAAAAAATTTAGTTAATAAAAAAATTGAAAAAATAAACGTCCACAATCTTATCTGGTCTTCCACCTTATTTACTAACCTTTTTTAAAACAAAAACAAACAAAAAAACCCCTCATTTAAAATTTTCAGTACATATAGGCTGGCTTTTAATTATATAAAAAAGGATTGCTTGATTGGGTATAATTGCCTTATAATACTACACATTTTAAAGTGTACAATTTGATAAATTTTCATAGATAGTAAATGGTTACCCAATAATGATAGTGAACATATCCACCACCCCAAGCCCTCCTAGCCCCCCTAGTCCTCTTCTCTACCTCCCCTCTCCCAGGTAACTGCTGATCTGCTTTCTATCATGACAGATATGTTTGCATTTCTTATCCTTTTATACTAATGAAATCATGTAGTATTTTTTGGCTGGGTTTCTTATTATTAGCTATATCCTTGTACTTTAGATTTCAAACTCTTTGAGAGCAATAACCAACTTTTATTTCTTTTTTTCTTCCTCCTGGCCCTGAATTTCTCTTGACTCAGAAAAGTCCCTTAACATTATTGCTTGATGGAAATCACATCTTCATAGCCTTACCACTGAGCCTCAGTCTGGTGATGAAGGAAGGCTACTGTGCTAAGGATCTCAACTCTCCACTGCTTTTCTGGAGCTTCTGATGAGCAGCTTCAGATCAGTTAAGAAATTATACATTAGCTTAAAGCACAGGCCTTCATTTTGGGTCGCTGGACTCCCAGGTGTCCAGAAAACGAGCATCAGGGTATGTGTTCGGGGGCAGGTGGACAAGCGGTACTAGGTGGGAAGGGTCCCTGGATTTTACCAGATTCTTAATCACCAAATTCTTGACCCAAAGGGATGAACTATGGAATTAATGGCATGCTTTATTCCTTATTATAATTCTATCTGCATGTTATGAATATGATGTCTAATCATTAACCCTCTACTATCTGCTCCATGCCTGCCCTCCTCTCGCCCCCACTCCCACTTTCTTGCCAGCACTGGTGCACTTACCCTACCGAGCTGAGTACCAAGCACTGACTACTGGCAGTGCTGCTTCGTGGGAATTTTTTGCATTCCTCTTCTCTTTAAGACCTTCTCACCTAAGCTATGTGGCATGTTGCACCTTTTCAGTCACTGATTTCTATTCTGATTTTCTTAACAGTTTGTAGGGCTACCATTGTGCTCACATATCACACACCCTGTGTTTCCTCCAGCCCCCAGAGCACAGCATTCCTTTTCATCTTAAACACGATCAATGATTCACTCTTAGCAATGGTAAGTACTATGAGCTCCAGAAGTAACAATAATAGCACTGTAAACTCACAAAGTCACCTCTACTCAATCCAGAGACACCTCACCTTCTCTCCTACATCAAACACAAATTATATATGTAAATGCTATTATGTCCAATTTTCAATTTAGATGTCGAAAGCAAATCAACTTCTAAATGATAAATTCACATGCGTCTGGCACAGTCACACAAATGCTGGTTTAAAATGTCTTACAGAGATAGGAGAGAGCAAGAAAAACACTTTACCTGCCGGCCAAACGTGGACCCCGATCTTCGCACCCCACTCCCCTTACTCCAAATCTACTTCAACTCCAAGCACGTCTGCAAGGGTCTGGTCTCCTACTCCCGGTGGCATTGTCTGGCTGCCTGCTTGGGGCCAGCTCTTAACCGTCATTCTCCCTTTCACCCCTACCTTTCCCCAAGAGAATAACAAATATAATAATGATAGCATTTTGGTCTAGTTTCTACCCAAGTTCATCCCTCTGCATTAAAGTCAAACCTCTGAAAGTCACTTACGTGGAAGCAGCAAAGGCAAGCTCTGGGTTGGGAAGCCGGGCTTGCTGGTGCCAGGCTGCTTAAATAGCCGGCTGACGCAGGCCGTTGATAGCACGTTTATTTACGCCAGGGAGTGCACACTCAAGCAAGGACCTGAAAAACCTGCAGCGTGGGCAGAAGGAAAACAACTGAAAATATGCCAAGGTTACATCTCTCCTGGTTATTCAGGTTTGATATTCAGGTGGTGACTTCTGAGCATCTCATGGAAGTTTCTCCTCACTACCCTCCTGTCTGTGATCTCTTCTTTGGCTAAGTGAGACTCTTCAGCAAGGATGAGAGAGATGTGGCTGAGAAGGCAAAGACGCCACCCAGGACCCTGCTGCCAAGTTCCTTATTTTGAGCTGGCTTCCAGTTCCATGTTTCCTCATTTCAAAGCCTAGGCTCGGGGAGGTTGATTTCACAGATTGGTGGGCTGGGTGCCAAACTAAGAGCCTGGACAATTGCCCAATTAATGAAAAGTGGTTTTTTTTTCAGGCACAGAATGTTCAAATAAAGAACAGTTCTAGGGGAGATTCAGGCGAGGATGATACAATTTTAGATCTCCTTTGAGAACTTTTAATTTTGTTCCTCCTGATTTCCCCTCCCCTTCCTTTGTTAATGAAATTCCTATCTAAGAGTTGAAAGATTCCCCATGAGAGCTCAAATAAAAAGCCAGTGTGTGAGCGAGGCTGTGGGAAGATGTGTGAGCGGGTGTTCAGGGGTTTCTGGGACCATCACGGGCACATTTCTAAGGGTGAGGGTATGCGTGTGGGTGTGGGGACCCAGTTAGTCGATGTTTACCTTTGTTTTATAGCTAGATACAGCAGTTAATACTCAACTGCTGTGCATTAAACACATCAAGTGGGTATGATTTTGAGAGGATGAAGGAGGAGAGGCAGGTTTGGTGAGCTCATTTATGAGGGTTTCTGTATGTATTTACTGGTATGTAGCACACACGGGTGAGTGTCACCTAGAGACACACATCCTGTATTTATCACTTCACTGGAGAAAGAAAAAGCTCACTTGATTCTCTTGGGAATAGCGGCCACATGTGAAAGAAGAGGAACAATCATTCAGAATATTTCCTTCCCTCCCAGGAAAGTGGGAATGGTTATAAAACATGTGTGGGAGAAAAGTAGAGACAGGGGGCCTCGAGTCCCAACCCTGGCTACCAGAGGAATTCTTTTGTTTCCAGCCTAATTCATTGCCTAACTTTTGACTGCTCTATGGCCAAATCTGGATTCTTGTCGCGCAGGTTTCTTGAATGCAGGGTCTATGTCTCGTTCATCTTTGGATAGCCACAGTGCCTGGAAGAAATGATTATGACAGTGATACTGTGATGAAGCTGATGAAGATGATGTCTGCATGTACACTGAGCACTGATTTCAACCAATATTTAGAAAGTTGCCTAAGAATGTTTTCCTTGTCTTTGTTTACTTATCATCTGTCTTTCAGAACGTGATTTCTGTGAACTCGGAGACCTTGCCTGCCTCCTCCATGCTTGTAACACCAGCACCAAGCACAGTATCTGGCATATACAAGTGCTCACTTAATGTGTGCTTTTTGCTCATTTTCTAAATTCCTTTGAAGGCTGAATAACCCAACATACAGAGGATCTGACATCAGAGTCTGATCTTGGTTCAGCTACATTTCTTTTGCTCTTGCATAATGTATTGGCTTCAAGCTATTTCTCTTTATTCATTATGTCACAGAGATGACCTAAAAGTCACTGAAACCAAAGAGCACTTTTACAACACTTAAGAACTCTGCAGGTGTGGTTTCAGGTTTCTTAATGGTGCAAGAACTCAGATATTTTCTTTCATTTTGTAGACTGCAATGTGACAGCACTGACCCCTCTCATGGTGGCAAGGTTGTTTCAGTAGCTCTATATATCACATCCATAAACAAAGACATCCAAAAACAGACAGGAAGGATCATGGGCTTTCTATTTAGTATCTTACTTTGTTTGTTAGAGAGGAAAAAATCTACCCATTAGCCACCAGTAGACTTCCAGTTATGTCTCCTTGCTGTCAACTGGGTTAAAAGACCACCACATTGGTTAAATTCATCATTTGCAAAAGGAAATTAACCAGGCCGATAATGGTTCCTCTCACAAACTCAAGGGAAATTTCCCAAGGCAAATTTCCCTGACATCTGAGCAAAATCAGCATTCAATTAACTTCTGAGAAGAAGTAGGAAAGTGCTACCAACAGTTTTGCCAAACTTAAAAGCCTTTCAAGTATGATAACCTAAATAACATTAGTGTTTGGGCACCAGCTCAGTCATGTCAACAGGGCGTTCTATATCAGTTCTCTATTTCTGTCTTTTTTTTTTTTTTAATAAGAAAAGCATGCTTTGGTTCTCAGCAAAATTACAGCTATTTCAGCAACCCTAAGATAAAGAAGTATCAGGTCTTTTGTAAGATTTTATTCCTATAAATTTAGATCCTAGGTCTTCATATCGCCTCTGATTTTTTGTATATCCAAGGAATATGATTCAATCCAGAAGCTTCTTGGTTTTTTTTCTTTGTCATATGGCATTGATAATACTGTCGATTTCCTAGAAACATCAAGTTTAATACTGTAACTAATTATAAAAAAGATTGCAAAACAGTCTGACAGGGTTGATACATCTTCTGGCTCTTCCTCTTGTCTGTCCTATTTCAGGGGAGTTCTGTAATCCACATGTTTGCATCTGTCTCTGCCTAAGAGCTCCAGCTACTGCCTGGGATGTATAAAATAGAAACATATGGCTGACACAGTAATTCTTACATAGTATTTTCCTCCCGGTGGATAATACACTTCCAATTAATACCCACAGTTTGGTAATTATTTCCCTTCTCTTTGTCATTCTAGATCTTTTCCTTATAGTGGGTCTCAGAAGGCTTTAGGTCCATGTTGTGATATGCTTTGTCACAGATTAGCAGAATTTGGATGAAGTTTGAGGTGAGTTAGATGTTAAGCCCCATGCAGAAAGAACTGTGTCTGAGAGATGGCAGTTGCCCAGTAAGTTTCTGTTGAATGGCTAGAATGGTGGAAAAGAAAGAACCTGGGCAGACTTGGATTCAATTCCCACCTCTGCCACTTATCATTTTTATTATCCAGAGCAAGTAATGTAACTCTATCGGGCTCAGTTTCTTCATCTATAAAATGGGAATAATGATGCTACCCTCACAGATTTATTGTAAATATTAGAGATAATATATGTAAGACACTTAGCATCATGCCTAATACATTATCAGTCAATCAGTAGTAGCTACAGCTACTAGCTACAATAAGAAGTTGGATTTTTTTAAGAATCAAATTTTATTGATTAGCCATTCATTTACAAAACTACATAATTTAGGGGATACCGCTTCACCCCTTGACATGTGCACATGTTTCACTCATCCTCCACCAAAGCTCCCATATAATACACTTTCACATCACCCCCTTTTATCCTCTCCCCTCCTCCTCCCCCTCCCTACTGGATTCAAAGAGTTAATTTTGTTGTGTTTCACCAGTTAGTTTTCTTTGGTTATTTGTATCCCACAAGTGAATAGTAATTGTCTGACTTACTTAATTTAGCTTAATTGCCTCCGTTTTGTCCCAAAAGGCACTATTTCATCTTTTTAATGCTTAGTAATATTCCATTGACTTTATATACCACAATTAAAAAAAATCTTTTATCCAGTCAAAGAAGAAATCTTTTCCATCGTGGAAAAGATTTTTCTTTGTGGAGCCCACACATGGTGGGGAAAAATAGTCAAACCTGAAACCCCCACTGGCCACAACAAACGGGTACTTGGTGGAGATACACAGAAGGCAGTGCTACCCGGACAGCGAAGGCAGCTCTACTCTTCCTGCCAAAAGCCAGAGCTCACTGAGGTGCAGAGAGCCACTTTATGAAACCAGAGCATGTGGAGCCAAGCTACCGAACAAGGTAGAAATATCATTCTGGGGCGGGAGGGGGGGCGGGGCACGAAAACTATCCAAGGCAAAGAACAAATTTACCATGAAGGATTACATCTCCCAAGGACTAAATAAATAAATAAATAAATAAATAAACCTCCCAAGGGCCAAAATCTGTATGGAAATGAATGAATGAATGAATGAATGAATGAACAAACAAACCGACCTACCTCCCAAGTGCCAAAATCTGTACAGAAGTAAATTGGGAGGAGTAGCCAGAGTAAAGACATGATGAAAGTTCTGCCCAGGGTGTGAGCTTGCCAACAGAGACACCAAGGACTCTCTGCAGATGGTGTGGCCATTCTGACTCCCACAGTGCCCTCTGACCCAGACTGGTGGGGCAAGAGTGTGGGAAGCAGGAAAGGATCACAGACGACAGAGAACCTGGACTCAGAGGAGGATGCCAATGGCTCAAGGTTGAAGGTGTTTCCCTTGGCTCTTTCTGAAAGAGGGTTTCACAAGGTCCCTGGTGAAGAGAACTCCCTGCTTCTGTCGTGTGTGTTGTATACGTAGTAATGATTAAGTCACCCTTTCGGGTGAACTGTGGTATTTCATTCATTCCAAGGGTGGATTCTCTCATCTTATCTAATCCATTTGTTGTCCTGTGGAGTCCTGAGTCAGTTGACTGGATGCTGTGGCCCGTGAGCCGCGCCCACTGCAGAAAGCGCCTGCTCAGGCTCTTTCTTCTGGTGTGGTCCCGGTAGCCTATCTCTTTGGCTTAAGAACCGCAGTTTCTTCTCATTATATTTAGCTTCATCTTCAGTCTAAGGAACAGGAGGTCACAAGCATTGTCTTCTCTCAGGATCCCACTCATGATACTGGCCTCAGGAGGGGAAGGCCCTCAGTACTGGGGAGCATTGCCCTGTGTGTGGAAGGAGGGAGGGAAGAGGCAACCTCACCCACGAGTGCCTCGCTTCTCTCCCTTGGCATCAGGACTCGCTGTTGCTGCCAGGCACTGCTGGAGAAGCAGCATGGCGACATTCTCCAGTGAGGTAGGGTGGAGGGTCGCCTCAGAACTGCTTCTCCTGGGCATGGCGGGAAGTTGTTGCAAGTTGGGGCCACCTGACCTGAGTGTAATCCCCACACCCACTACTGAAAGTTCAGGGATGAACTCTATGCTTTTAGAAAGAAGGAGCTAGGGAGTTTGGGTAAAGAAAACCAAAATCATTTGCTTGCTGAGGCATCAAACCCAGGCACAATGTGCTCTTCTATTAAAGACAGGACCTTATAAGTGATTTTACTTGACAACAGAGAGGAAGAAGAAAGGAGGACTGAGCTACCAAAAACATAAAGTTTAAAGAACTTTAAACTTAAAACATTGGGAAAAAGGGCCTCCCCTGGTGGCGCAGTGGTTGAGTGCTAGGTTGTGAAGCTTCCTGCAGCCTCTGGAGCGCCGGTTCGAACACCGACCATTGGCGAGAGACCCACATGGCGCGCAGACCTCTCCTGCCACCCGCTG